GAACATTGCATTTATCACCCAGTTTAATTCACCACCCTCCGAAGTAAGGCCTTTCACTGACCCATTCTACAGATCAGAAACTGAGGACCAGAGTCTTACAGTCACAGGGTCACAGCAACAGAAGCAGAGCTGGGAACCGACCCTGAAGTTGATGGGCACCAAGAAGTTAACTCATAGAGCATGGGGCACAGGGAGGTAAGAGAAAATGTCTGCTGTTAGAATGAACAGGCATCTCTTTTTCTGCTTCAATGACGAGAGATTTGTGTGTGGCTTCCAAATTTCAGTAGCTTTTTTCAAATTTCTGAAAAAAAGTCCATTTGTTCTAAGAGTCAAATTTCTTCCTGACACAAGTAACACTGCTGCAACAGGGAGACCTCCTGACAGCACACAGGTAATAGGCAACTGCCCACTGGAGGACGAGGGAAATGGTCTCAGGCAGCAGGTTCCTTCTTTCTAAAGTGCGATAAATGCTGGCCATCCTCACCTCCTCAGCCTGAGGAAGAGCCCTCAGAAAACTGTGCTAGAAACCCCAGCTAGTCAGGAAACAGAAAAGATGTTCTAAAATGATGAATCACCACAATCTTAAAACAAAACATTTTATTTGACAGAGAAATTCTAAGGTACAAAAACATTTTGCAAATGTCAGCTGTGATCTACTATCACCTATTCACAGAATTATGTACAAATCATATGTCATTAACATTTTTAATGTAAAAATACAGCATACTGCTACAGTCTGCCAGTGCTCACTATTCCACCAAATCCCACCAAGGACAAACTTAAAGATGAAACAAAGATAATGACATCAATAACTACTGTGTTCCACAGGCTTTTCCCCCATAGAATGTATTAACAGAGCGCATCACAGTGAAAAATTATTTTTTATAAACAGTGAAAATAGAAGTTACATACTTTCTAAATGAACACGTTTGGTTTTTACAAAAGCTTCTGCTGCTGTCCAGACTTACCATGCTTTCTTCTTGAGAGAAAAACATCAAACTTTATTTTTCTTTTTTACAACGGACGAGCTCATGTTAGTGTAATCCAATGGCAATATTTTATCTAACAATTGGAGCAGCCAATTTTGTCTACATCATGTACAAACAGAAGACTGCTTCTTTGAATCTTCTTGACTGAAATTTTATATGATATAAACATCAGATACGCAGTCATAATGGTTTGCTTTTGTCAGACTTCTGACTGTGCAAAACACAGCACTTGGTCAATTGAGACCTGTGGACCTAGCCTTTTAGAACACAGAAAGTCCTTGAGGTGTCTGTGGTCCTTCGGGGAGGAACCAAAGAACCAGAGGGAAGACAATAGGCCAAAATTCCCCAGAGTTCCTCACTGGAGGATTCAAACGTGTGTTTGCAAATTAGCCCTCAAACAGCAATGGGCAAGTGGTATTTAGCAACTGCTGCCGTCACCTGGCCAGTGGTTAAACTGAAGTCTGCACCATTTAATGATAATGTGAGTCAGAAATAAAGGTGATGTCCAAGATATATAAAAAGAGAATCCAAAATTGGGAGGGAAGGATAGCTGCCACTCAGAAGATTAAGAGCTGGTCTTAAAGAGTATCTTTAAGAAGCTCAGAAATGATAGTAAACACCTCAGGAATAAGCACCAAGTGTTTGACACAGGAGGAAAAAACCAAAAGGTATGATAGAGGACTATCACCAAGAAAAAAAAATCATGTGGCAGTTGAATAACTCTCAAAATGATATACCATTTTTAAAAAGTACCATTATATTTTTAAGTGATAGGAGGAGCTGAGCACATAAGAATTTTTCCCCATAACCCCATCCTGAGCTTGGATTTCACAAAGCACCAATGTGAATAAGGCACCAATGTTCTGTTTGGGCAACTAAACTGAGTGTGAAGCTGAGAAACAGAATAGCAGTGAAAATGATTAAGCTGCTGGAAAACAAGAGCTATGAAGAACGGTTTAAGTGGGTGGGATTATTTATCACTGAAATAAAAACACCAGGGGTATGACTTCACTGTGGTTTTCAAATACACGGAAGGTGACCAGCTGTTCTTTCTCCAGTACACCCCAAACAAAGAAAGCTGGTTTGAATTTCCATAAGGAAAGATGTACAAAGAACTATCTGATCAGCAGGGTACGTTACAGAATCTCCTTCATGAAAAACCCAGAATCCCATCCACAGTCGTACGTTTGGAATAATTTAGGCGCAGCCTTGTCTGATACCAAGAAGGTAACATGCTAGATAACCTAAATCTTCCCCTAGCCCCCAAATTCTGAAATTGGAATAAAAGCTATTGGCTTACAGTCAGACTTCCTTTTGTTTTTTTCCACCCTCAGCCTAGAAAGGAAGTGATATGGCAAGGGTGACCCAACACCCCATAAAGACTCCTAACTGATATCTTGACATCAGGAATAGCTTTTCTCTGTATACTGACTGTTTCACACCTCCAAAACAGAGTCAATTCACAGATCACTAAAAACAGAAGATAATGCAAATACTTGGCTCTAGTGGACACTAGGAAATTCCATACCTTACTTCCCGCAAATGCCTGCTTTCCTAATTATGTCTTGGACTAAGATCAGAACTGCACACCATCTAAAAAAAAGTGATTATGCCAAGAACTAAAACTATAAATAAGCCCCTTCAGGCTGTGGAATTTAAATGAAATTGTTCCAAGCATTATATTCTTTAAACTGGGAGAACATAAAACTCGTTTTGAAATTCACAACTAACTTCTCTTTTTCTTAAGACACCATGAAATGTAAAGATGCAATCAACATTTCAAATACATTCAGAATCACAACAAATTTCTTTGGGGGAGAAAAAGGGGAAAGAAGCAATCCAGCTACTGGCTATACTTAGCAAGAGCATTTTCTAGTGGCACCAGACATCTGTAGTTAAGCTAACATGGATGCCTTTCATTTCAAATCTTATAAAGCACAGGTAACAAACTGGGAGCCAGTGGGCCAAATCAAGTCCATCCATGTGTTTTGTTGGTCCTGAATTCACTTAAGATTTGTTATAAATTTAGTTGCCAATATTTAAAAAATCAGAATTTTTCATATAAAAATCCAAATTCCCAGCTTCTGAAAAATGGGAAGATCAGGAAATACTGCACAGTCACAATCAGCTGAAATAGCTGCTCCCTGTAGGTTGGACAGGAGCTCTTCAATTTGCCACAGTCCCCACCATTCTGTATTGCTCTAACACTGAGAAAGCATGTCAGTACCACTTATCAGCACATAGTTGTTTACCTTACCCCTGGCCTGCTAAATCAGTCCTCCCTAAAGGCACAGGATCTGCTAAATAATACTAGTACTAGTATACGCCAATAGAAAATAGAAAAGGCTAGTAACCTTCCCACGGGCATTGCCCACCTCCTTCAATAAAGATAGAAAGAGTAATTTCTCTCTCCTTGAGAGAATCAAATTAGTTGTTGAGGTGGTTGGGGGTTGTGCGATCCCGTTGCCGGTCCCGGTCCGGTACGGGCGCGACACTAAGGGTTGCGATCCGTTGCCGGTCATGAAAAAAGACAAAAAGGAAAAGGAAAAAAACAAAAAAAAATGGGAAGTTCAGGAAATACTGCACAGCCACAATTGGCTGAAATAGCTGCTCCCTGTAGGTCGGACAGGAGCTCTTCAGTTTGCCACAGTCCCCACCATTCTCTATTGCTTTAACACTGAGAAAGCATGTCAATACCACTTATCAGCACATAGCTGTTTTCCTTACCCCTGGCCTGCTAAATCAGTGCTCCCTAAAGGCACAGGATCTGCTAAATAATACTAGTACTAGTCTTCACCAATAGAAAATAAAAAAGGCTAGTAACCTTCCCATGGGCATTGCCCACCTCCTTCAATAAAGATAGAAAGAGTAATTTCTCTCTCCTTGAGAGAATCAAATTAGTGTTGAGGTGGTTGGGGGCTGCAGGATTTTCTTTCTTTTGGGTGGAGGATGTATCATTTCTTCTCCAGGAACAAAAAAGCCTTTTTTCCCTTTGTTTCTTTTAAAAGAAAAGATACTCAACTCTGAAAAAAGCTCTGAAAATCATGTAACCCCACATTTTTTTTTTCTTTTTTTTCCTTTTTGTCTTTTTTCGTGACCGGTAACGGGATCGCAACCCTCGGTGTCGCGCCCGCACCACGCTCAACCAGTGAGCAGACCGGTCTCTATATGGGATCCGAACCCTCGGCGGGAGCGCCGCCGTGCTCTCAAGCGCCGCACTCTACCAAGTGCGCCACCGGGCCGGCCCTAACCCCACATTTTTTGAAGGGAAGTCTTCCTGTGTACTTGCATTTAAGTCAGGAGACCTGAGACTAGCAGTTGGTTTTACGGCGAGGAGCTTGGAAGGAAGGGCAGGAGGCTCCTCCTCACCTAAGAAGAGAAGACAGGACAGAGTCACAGTCATTGCATTTCAGTAGGTCAGGTGCTCATACAATGTGGCTGGATAAGGGTTTGAACTTTGGGCTTTGCTCAAATGAGGTAGGCATCCCAACCAGCTCAAGACAGGGCACTCTCATCCTAACAGGTTCTTGTTCCCTTAGATGAGAAAGAAAGAGACACTCCTTGAGAGTCATGGGTTTCCACGTATGACTCCAACTGGTTACAGGCATGGTAAGGAGCAGCCTGAGACAATATCCTGCTCCCTGGGGAAATGGGTCTTCCAACACAGTCCTCCTACCTAGGGCCCTGTGCTGAGCTAGGATGGAGAGAATACTGTAACCATGAACCCCAGGCTCAATGGACATAGCTTTAAATACAACGGGAGAGAGTGGGGTGGTGAACACTACAGGTCCCGACAAAGACACAGGTCCACAGATCCTTACCCAACACCCTTGGCGTGTTTCGGTATTCTAATGTTTTTGGAGTACATAAAGTTTAAATAATGCATATAACATATGTTACATAACACCCCCTGCAGGGTCTGGGCAGCTCACCACAATTTAGCACCAGTATTTCTACAGCACAAACATGTAAGTACTCCCAATACCGGAGATAAATCGAGACTATCAAACGAGTTATGTTACTTCCCATCCTTTCTACCTTCTTAATAAGAGGTTTGTAATTAGTCAAAACCAGTCCAGCAGATTAACTGGTCCCCGCCTCCACACACTGCTGTATTTCAGTGAATTCTGATCCCTAATATTCAGGACACATCTTTAGACCAGAAGGCCAACAGAAGCACAAACTGCAAGTTCCAATAATACAGCCCAGCTGGGTATCAGTCTCTTAAAAATAAACTTCCAGACACCAACATCTGAGATAGAGCACAGAAAATGTAAGTTTCCCAGGGAAACCTGGCAGGCTAATCTGGCCCCTGCATGGTGCCTACTCAGACCACGGGGAAGCTCCGTGTGTTGAGGTGTCTGGTACCTTCTGCATTTTGCCCAACCCATCCCAGATGGAATGATCAAGACAGCCTGGCCCTGTGGCCCCAACTCCGGCCAGCCACGCCACTCAGTAATACACAGAGACTCATTTTATACAAAGCAACTGTATATTCAGTCACTTTTTTGACCTTTAACTCAAAGCTTATTTAACGCCCATGGCATTGTAAGTTCCACATCAAAAATAGAAACATCATCAGCAATATGATATGGACTCCAGATATACTGACACTTGATTTTTGTGGCTATGACATTAAAAGTGCTTTTTCCACAAAGCACTTCAAATGAAAGTAGCCAACAATGAATAGGCAAAGTTTGCAGAGCTCAATAAAGTCTCAATCATCAGTGCAGGTATCTTCCTGTTTCTCTTTACATGTTTTCTCTCCAACTCCCAGAACAGGCTCTGATCCAAGGACTGACCTAATGTGGCAAGCCGTTGTCAGACCTTATGGACATGACTTTCAGACTCCATATGGTTTTAGAAAATCAGAGACTTTGCCAAGATATGTGGTAGAGGGTTGGGGCAAGGGGTAGCAAATACTGGCCAGAATTTCACTCCAAATATCCTTGAATGAGACCTCAGCTCCAAGTGGGCTACACAACCAGAGAGATGAGCTGGGAGCCAGAGAGGCGGCAGCTAAAGTGGCAATGCTTAGACTCTTTTCATTTCATTACAAAGGGGCAACAACGTGAAGTTCATCAGTGTAGCTGCAGCAACCAAGTTCTGCTTTGCACACCCCAGAGGCGAGGAGCTTGGAAGGAAGGGCAGGAGGCTCCTCCTCACCTAAGAAGAGAAGACAGGACAGAGTCACAGTCATTGCATTTCAGTAGGTCAGGTGCTCATACAATGTGGCTGGATAAGGGTTTGAACTTCGGGCTTTGCTCAAATGAGGTAGGCATCCCAACCAGCTCAAGACAGGGCACTCTCATCCTAACAGGTTCTTGTTCCCTTAGATGAGAAAGAAAGAGACACTCCTTGAGAGTCATGGGTTTCCACGTATGACTCCAACTGGTTACAGGCATGGTAAGGAGCAGCCTGAGACAATATCCTGCTCCCTGGGGAAATGGGTCTTCCTACACAGTCCTCCTACCTAGGGCCCTGTGCTGAGCTAGGATGGTTACAGGCATGGTAAGGAGCAGCCTGAGACAATATCCTGCTCCCTGGGGAAATGGGTCTTCCAACACAGTCCTCCTACCTAGGGCCCTGTGCTGAGCTAGGATGAAGAGAATACTGTAACCATGAACCCCAGGCTCAATGGACATAGCTTTAAATACAACGGGAGAGAGTGGGGTGGTGAACACTACAGGTCCCGACAAAGACACAGGTCCACAGATCCTTACCCAACACCCTTGGCGTGTTTCGGTATTCTAATGTTTTTGGAGTACATAAAGTTTAAATAATGCATATAACATATGTTACATAACACCCCCTGCAGGGTCTGGGCAGCTCACCACAATTTAGCACCAGTATTTCTACAGCACAAACATGTAAGTACTCCCAATACCGGAGATAAATCGAGACTATCAAACGAGTTATGTTACTTCCCATCAGGTTTCACTGCCTAGTAAGTTGGCACCAAAATTTGAAAAACACTTTGACGTATTCAGAAGTGTGACCAAAGTGCCCCGACCCAACAGCACCTTACCCAGGCCCGAGGAAGAGGACACGCTCTCTGTCAGGGAAGACGTTTCCGTCTGGTCGGTTGAAAGTCCTTCCATGAGAGGCAGAGACAGCTCGGACGAAGGCACGGACGAGTCGTAAATGCCTGAGTCTCGCGGCATGTCCGAGGGGCTGCCGGCTTTCACCGAGTGCAGCAGGGGCTGCAGGGCGGAGCCGCCGTCAGGCGCAGGCCGGACCTCAGCGTCTTCATCCAGGCTCCCGCGCTGGCCCTCCGGCTGTGAGTCGACCGGCCCACTTGCCCCAAGAACGGCCGCCTCGGCCTTTAGGCAGAACTCGCTGTCAGGCCCTGGTTTGCACACATCATTTAAAACCAAGCCCGAGTCAAACTTCTGCAGGACTGGCTCCCGGTAGCGTAGTGGGGGAGGATGGAAGGGAACGAACTGCTTCTCAAACCAGTCGGGCTCCTCGTCGATAAACTGGTGCATATTGCAGATGGCGACGTACAGGGACCTGCCGGATTTGCTCCGGAAGTAGTTTCTTCTGCCGCCATGTCCCGGATGCTGCCCTGGCTCGGGCTGGCTATGGCCTCTGGAGTGCAGGTGGGAACAGAGCTGGGGAAGGTTGTCCATGAGTTTGTACTTAGTGCTCAGGTCCAGCACGCCGGGGACGTCTCCCTCACAGGAATAATCAAAGTAGACTGCGATGAACTTGCTGAGCGCCGCGGATGAACTCTGTTTGGCCTGGCGGAGCTTCTCAGCAATGGCCGACACGGCAACCAGGAAGAGATCCCCTTTCCCCGAGCCTCGGCCGCCAACTTTGTGTTTGTAGTTCTTCTTATCCACAAAGTACTTCATGCCTTTGGAACACACCACAATGATGAACTGGGACTCGTGGATCTTCTGGATGACCCATTCTCTCTGCCCTTCTCTGCAGGGGCTGAAGTCTTCCCACAGGTCCAGAGCCACCTGGAAAAGAGGACAAGGCACCTCATTGACCTATACAGAACGCTCGGGAAGAGCCTAAAGAACCGAGTAGCAAGAATGGGAATGTCAGGATTTCACATCATCTGTCCCATAACCATTATCAGCACAGCTATGTGTAGGCTCTGGGTTACCAGGTCGAGAGGCATAGCTAAGGTTCTGTGGGTGAAGCTCATACTCCAGGCCCTCTGTAAGGGCTTGCCAACCATCAGCTCATTTTAGCATAATGTGAGGTCATCACCACTTCTGCCCTACAAGTGAGGAGAAAGAAACATAGAGCTTTTGGCAACTTGTCCAAGTCACACACTACATAGGACGCCCTCAAGAAACCTACAGTGTGGGAGAGAGCACAGAATATGGAGGAACAGGGTTGATGTATCTACTAAGTCAGGCTGCCTAAATGGGAGGGAAAATTCTGGAGAGAAGGCTGGCAGGCTCTGAGAGGAAGACATGGAAGAGTGACCTCAAAGTGAGTTGGGAGATGGGGCTCAGGCCTGGATGCTAGAGTCACCAACAGTACTAGGTGACTCACATCTAGAGGGCATGACTGACTAAGAGGACCTCTCCAGCCATTCTCACAGCCCTGGGGTCACAGCCATGCTGGTTACCAGTTGGTCAAGAGAGGACAGTGGTGAATGGCAGTAACATGGCCATTCTGGTTAACTCACTCAGGAGTGATTAGCACCTCCCTCCATGGTTTCATAGAAGCCTACAGGGTCATATCTCTACAAGGCCTGTAACCCTAAGGGGAGTCTGGTAGAGAGGTTTGGGTCCTTGACAAAGGAAGGAAAATCAGGCATGCATGGCTCCTCAGAGGGCTTCACATTCTCAGACCACTCTCATCTGATTCTGCTGAAACTGTCTCTTGGTGATCGTGCTGGCATCTTTCCTTCTGTAACTCAGAAATTTGGCTATGACCAAACACAGAAGCCACAGTCTCTTACAAGGGAGGGGCATTCTGAAATGACTTTGTTTTCCTCTTCTGCCAAAGGAAAGAAAGCCCCAACATCCATCCAGTTGATGAAAATAATCCTGAATTATCTTATATTTTCCTTAATTCTTGCTAATATTATACATGCTAAAAGCTAACTGAGAGTATATATCAAGCATCTAAAAAATATTCCTAGCTATGACTCAGGAATTCCATTTTCAGGCATCTATCCTTGGGAAATCATCAGAAATGGGGTGATATTGAACTACCGAGATGTTTAACAATTTGAATTAATTCAGTTATGGTGAATCAATATTATTTATCATTGGCTATTTAAAATTGCAATTTATGGGCCGGCCCGTGGCTCACTCGGGAGAGTGTGGTGCTGATAACACCAAGGCCCCGGGTTCGGATCCCATATAGGGATGGCCGGTTTGCTCACTGGCTGAGCGTGGTGCTGACAACACCAAGTCAAGGGTTAAGATCCCCTTACCGGTCATCTTTAAAAAAAAATTAATAATAATAATAAGTACATTCTAAGATGTTGTTGGGGGAGGAAGGGTAAAGAGGAGAAGGGGTTGGCCCATAGCTGATTCTGTCTCTGGCCTACTTGCTGTCAGCGGTGGGTAGGGCTGAAGTGCAAGGCCCCCCACCTCAGTACCCCCAGAGCTTCTGGCTCTGGCTTCAGCCCAGGCCTGCTTGTGGTCAGCTGTGGGTGGGGCCAAGACCCTGGAGGGCTTCTCTCTGCCGCAACTCTGACCCACATCTCCTCTTGGCATTGTTGGCTCACTCGGGAGAGTGCGGTGCTGATAACACCAAGGCCCCGGGTTCGGATCCCATATAGGGATGGCCGGTTTGCTCACTGGCTGAGCGTGGTGCTGACAACACCAAGTCAAGGGTTAAGATCCCCTTACCGGTCATCTTTAAAAAATAAATAAATAAATAAATAAATAAATAAATAAAATTGCAATTTATGTAGAACTACTAATAGTATAGAAAATTATTGAGATAGAAAAAAAATCATTCCAGTCTGCCCCAAATGCAAAACTGTTGGTGTGAGTTCATCTATGCAGAAAAAGACTGGAAGGAAAGACATTGAACATTAACTGTGGTTCCTCTTTCTCCAGATTGGGATTATAGGCAATTTTTTGTCATCCTTTTCTAGTTTCCAAATTTTCTACTGTAAATATTACACTCGTAATTGGAAGAGTGTTTTCCTCAGAGGCAAATTACTTGCGAAATAGAGCAAACTGAATTGTCTGTGGTATTTGAAAACAATGTGTATGGTTGTTTTTTAATAGGTGCTGACCTGCCAAGCTCATGGCTTTCACACAGGGGAAACAGGGCCAGTCTTGTANATATTGAACTACCGAGATGTTTAACAATTTGAATTAATTCAGTTATGGTGAATCAATATTATTTATCATTGGCTATTTAAAATTGCAATTTATGGGCCGGCCCGTGGCTCACTCGGGAGAGTGTGGTGCTGATAACACCAAGGCCCCGGGTTCGGATCCCATATAGGGATGGCCGGTTTGCTCACTGGCTGAGCGTGGTGCTGACAACACCAAGTCAAGGGTTAAGATCCCCTTACCGGTCATCTTTAAAAAAATAATAATAAATAAATAAATAAATAAAATTGCAATTTATGTAGAACTACTAATAGTATAGAAAATTATTGAGATAGAAAAAAAATCATTCCAGTCTGCCCCAAATGCAAAACTGTTGGTGTGAGTTCATCTATGCAGAAAAAGACTGGAAGGAAAGACATTGAACATTAACTGTGGTTCCTCTTTCTCCAGATTGGGATTATAGGCAATTTTTTGTCATCCTTTTCTAGTTTCCAAATTTTCTACTGTAAACATTACACTCATAATTGGAAGAGTGTTTTCCTCAGAGGCAAATTACTTGCGAAATAGAGCAAACTGAATTGTCTGTGGTATTTGAAAACAATGTGTATGGTTGTTTTTCAATAGGTGCTGACCTGCCAAGCTCATGGCTTTCACACAGGGGAAACAGGGCCAGTCTTGTAAATATGTTTTATTGACTGGGGAAACTGGGCCAGTCTTGTAAATATGTTTTATTGACACTAGGGGGCAGCCTCACCCTGTGGAGAGATTCTGAGAACTATGCCAATGGGCTGTTTCAAAGCACAAATAACTCCCAATTACACAACTATTGTACAATTCTTGCATTTGTAAGAAATGCAGGGTGTGCCTTCCACGAGAGTTCCAGACTTCACTCTAAAAATTAACACTATGACATTATAGAAAAGCTACATATTAATAGATTAATATCTAATGTCTATTAATAGACTAACTCAAGGGAACGGCTAAGAAACCAGAGCAGACAATTTGAGCACTTGACACATTGTTTTCTGGGAGTCCTCCCTTCGCACTTCTTGGTTCTCTCCAGGCACTGCCCTCTCCAGCATTACCAATTTCTCTCTTTCCACGACTTTTTAGCACTCCATGGTCAAACCACCTCACAGAGACATCTGTTAAAACATTACTCCCTGGACCCCAAGATCCTCTCCAGTGGCAGCCCCATTCTCCATTCCCCTTTTTAGCAAAACTCCCCCAAAGAATTGTATAAACTCACTACTTTACCTGCCATTCTCTCTTTGACCCTCCAGTGGGGCTTCTGTCCTGAACATGCTTACCAGGATGTCTTGAGTGACACCTCCCACCCTAGCTGCATGTTCCCATGGCAGCTGCTGGTCTTTTTAATGCTTACAAAACTTCCTGCCAGGTGGCTTTTGAGCAGCGGTATGCCAGGGTTAGAGCTAAGTGTTACGAAACATTTAGTGCTGGTAACAGTTAGGACAGACTGAAAGAAGACTGGAAAACTGTCCCCAATTTGGAAGACATAGCACTAGTCCAGGGCAGGTTTCTCTGAAGGAGGTCTGGAGGAGAAGAGATGGCAGCAAGGAGAGAGTACAGACACGTGTCCTGCCCAGGGTAAGAGAAGAGACTTCAGATTCTGCACCTCACAGCCACAGAAGTCCTGGAGGAAGTAGGCGAAACACTGGACGACGTTCATGTGATTCTGGCCATCTTTACTGGAATAGCAGAGGAAGACCTTTGGCCGCGGCTGGAGTCTCTCTCTGGGAAGTGCTGCAGCATACGTGGAGGACTCAGAGCTCTCTTCATCTAAATGTGAATATATATTTTCTAAATTGGAAAAGAAAATAGGGTGGATACCTATGAGCAACACTTTGTCCTGCTCCCTAATACTCAGAACCCAATGCTACCTTCAGGAAAGAACAGTTGACACATTCACCTAGAGCAGTCTCAGTCCCCCAACTCCATCAGCCCCTTGGGTCATCACTGGGAATGGGACAGCTGATTTCTGCAGTGGAGCAACAAATGGTCAAAAATTGTTCCTAACCTGAAACTGACCTTGGATAAGCCAAGAAATGCCGCATGGGCCTCCCTGGTTAGCAGAGTGCCCATGGCTGTTGGAACCAAGTGTACCTACTAGACCAATTAAGCATTGGCAGAGCTGACCTTTTTTTTTTTAAAAGTTTTTATTGAGGTACAATTTACAAAGGAAAAGTGAATAAATCTTAAGTGTACATCTCAAGTGAATTTTTATGTGAGTATATACCTGTGAAACCCCCACCCAGACCAAGATGCAGATCATTTCTAGCTCCCAGAAGGCTTTCTCTGACTTTAAAGGATCAAGCTCTACCTATATCCTTTATACTTTACACTTCCTTTATGCCCTTGAATTTATTATTGTGAGCTTGAGAACAGAATTGTATCTGTCCTTTTAGTGGGTCCTGAGGTTAAAAGCCACATATTTTAATTCTGGGAACTACAGTAGGCAGAGGACTGATTAGGAGCTACGAGGCTTCCCAGACGGTAGCCTGGTGGAACCAGGTGCTCCCAATAGCCCTCTATTTTGGCAGCAACCCCTGGCCTGCCCCTTGTTGGGGAGACATGGCACACAAAGAGATACCTTGTTGCTTCTTGCGGCACATCACAGTGAAGAGCGTTGCAAATGCCGATATGACAACCAGCGGCACAGTGATAGCCACAGCTCTGATGGGCCCAGCCCACGGGGAATGCACTGGGAAAATTTCAAAGGGAAAGCTTTTAATCTTAAGCAGCGTGACAAGTTCAAAGAGAAATACCTTTTTTTTACTTTTTAAACATAAGCTGCATAACAGGTTCTAGGATCCCACAACCATCTTTCTTTAGTACTGGTTTGGTGATTATAAAAGGAATCAACAGTTCATTTTTAAAGGGTTATAGAAAACAATTCAACAGTTAAGAGTCTGTATGGACATTAAATACCTTTGAGTGAGAATTTTGCCTAAGGAAACCACCCCTCCTACCATTTTTCTTCTGAGGACAATTGTTAGTCCCAGTGACACACACCACATTGGCTTTGATCTTCCAGGCATCTACATTAGCATGGAAGGAAAGCCAGATTTGATGGAACATCATTTAACAGACATGAGCTGAATTTTGTTTTGCTTTTGTAAACCATGAAGTATAGAAAGTATCAGATACCTTGGTCTGCAGTAGTATAGAGCCAAAATTTCAAACAAAAAAATTCTTACCTGGCTTTAAGGCATAATGCATCACCTTTCTTGTTGTATTAGTGTCGTCTACCAGCTGCAAAACAAAGGATGCTGTATTATTTTTTTTAAGTGACAGCACCTCAACAAATTATGTCTACCAGGTAAGTGGGAAAAAATGGTGATTTCATCCATTTTCCCATGGGGGTGGGCACAAGTAAAGGAGAATGGCTTAGGGAACAGAGAGCTGCTGGTACCTGTAATCACTTACCAGGCTGAGACTAGGCATTAAGTACACTGAGGTTTGTTGCCATTTTATCAACTCCAGACTCTAAACTTTATCATGTTTCTTTTCATGAATTAAAAGGCTGTTTATTTATTGCAGAATTCAGCTGGTAAGTCCCACATTCTAACAATTTTCAATTAAACTGGCATTCCACTACTAATTTTACTGGGCCTCCATTAATGCTTTAAGTCAGTCCAAAACTACACACTGCTGCCAAGGAATGCCAAAACTAGCGTTTCTACCAAAATGTTAAGACATGTTGTTAAACTGTCTTTGAATAGTGGGGCCATGGACAAATTGTTAATTTCCTTTTCTATTTTCCTTTTATTCCTATTTTTGTGGTATCAATTTGATACTGGAAAATAATCTAAAAAAGAAAAGAAACACATCATTTACATGCTCTTTGAAGTGGTGTTTAGAACTCATTTATATTGACATAGAACAGCAACAGAAACCCTAGAGAAGTACAGGTAGATGTAATGAGTATAACTTTGCTTTGCTATTTCAACACTAAAAACTTTTGTAAAGCTAAAATTTTAAAAATATATCTTTGTATTATGCAGGAATACTACATACAAATTTTAAAGCTTGGTTATATATGGACTATATGGCTACATAAGAATATTTATTGAAATATTTAATGAAAAGATCAAAGATCAATTATGTATAAACTTTTTAAAAATCATGTTAAGAACCATATAAAAATATAACTCTGCAGACCTTCAGTGGCTTGAAATTTTAGTGTTGTAAACAGTTGTAATTCTACACGAACTGGATTCATTCTGTTGAATTAATAATAGGTCTTTCTTGAGTTATACATACCTCAATTACATAATCCCCTGGAGAAATATTTTGAAGGAGGCAGCTGGTTGTCTCTGTATTTTGCTCCTGCAAAGAAGCAAAAGAACACTTTAAAAACTCACTTCGTGCAAAAAGTTCATCAGGACTTTTCTCACCCAGAGCTGAGGAGATTTGCTACCAGTCTTGACCACAGTTTTCAGGTATGATTAGATCAGAAAGCAACTGTTATCTACCACAGGTTATCTGAACTTCACTTTGATAAAAGGCCCAGGAGAGCCCAGGACCCTGGTCATATTCTATGCTTAGTTGGTAGCATCCTCAGCAGGAATATTTGGTTTGAAAACAAAGAAACTAGTTAGAACACCCTTTATAAAAGGGTGGGGAAAGAAATTACTGTGTTTATATGTATTTTATTTGCCATAATTTTAACATGGGCAGAAAGTCAAAGAAAGTCAATGATAGAAGTGAGAGCCAGCAGGAGAACAAAATTATGACAGAACCCAACATTCACTGGAGCATGTCTAGGAAGGTGCTGATTTTTGTCACCATTACCAAAAGCCTCCCTCAGTGCTCACAGAGAACAGTCCCGTGAAATTCCACAAAACATTTCCCACTCCTCTGACTGCTCCCAGTTTAAGAACTTGGTTATTGACTTAACTTTGGCCTATGTATAACATCAGTGGCCCCTCAGTTGCTAGTGCTTGGCTCCTAGATCTGGTTTTTCCACTCAATAGCTATGTGACCTTGTGCAAGCCAGTTGACCTCTCTGAGCCTCAGGTCCCCCACCTGTAAAGTGGGGATGACACCAGCCTCTGTTTCACTGAGTGGAAAGGATTCCAGGAGCATAAAGCTGGTTCCTGCCACATAGTTAGCACCCGATGAATATTTAAATTATAGAAGAACAAACTAGAGATACTTCATTCTTTTGACTTCTTGGCAATACCTTTAACAGGCTGCATCACCACTGGGACAACTGGGATGTAGATAACTAGGGAGTGAGGGATGACAGTAAAATGGCCCTGAGACATACTCAGTGATAATATTCTGGAATATCTACCAACCATTGAGAGCCAACAAAACCTAACGCTCACACTGAGCTGTCCAAGTTCCAGTGGCTCAGGGGTTGCTTTAAAACACACCGTGTTCCCTTATGCACACCCAGCAGCTCACCTGCTTACAGGTCTTTCGCTTGAAGGGTCCTTCGTGCTTGAGCTTGTAATGAAGATAGAAGAAACGGAAGCCAAAGTTGTGCGGTGCATGGTCGAAGGACACCTGCATATCAGAACCCTGCTGGGTGATGTTCAGGTTCCGAGGCTTCCAGACTAGAAGGAGGCAGGACCCAAAGTGAGCACCCAGAGGCCACCCCAATACCCTCATGATGGCAACACTCTGAGATTTGAAAGATTAAGAATAGTTGTACTCACAGGGTTTACAGGCCAAGTTGTCTGGCTGCAACAACAGGTCACAGGCTATTAAGAAAGATAATATATTTTTAGTTTTAGGACAGTTTGACATTTTCTTCATCCAATAATTCAATAAAATATAATTATACTGTGCCAGGTACTGCTAGAAAGGGATAAAATACATCAGGTCAATGCTGATTTTCACTACAGTGCAGTTGTATCTTATGAAAACTTAAATGGTACAATACAAAAATATTAATGCAGTTCACTTTATGCCACATAAATGGAAATAGTTTAAGATCACCCAGATTTTAAAAGCCTGTCAAGCATTACATCGTTTCAAGGCTGGTGGCCAAGGACAGCAGAACTGTGTTCATGCTGCAGTCACATGCAGGCTCTGTTTTAGCTGTAAAAAGAAATAATGCCAGGCCCTTCCCTGCTGTGGGGGTGTTCTGGGCACAAGAGAACTTCAGAGTGGTCCTGGAACTACCACAGGATTATTTAACCTTCACAGGCATTCTAATTTAAAATTCTTTTGATGGACTCTAAAGATGACAAGGAGGCATCTACTTAGTAGTAGTGTTAGCATTGAAAACCAGGTACCAAAGCTGGTAGATTTGAAACAGGATTTAAATGAGATAAAAACACAATGAGAGAGGTTAAACAGTCAAATATGCTATGCTGCCAATGCAGGAAGAGTCTTCTGAGAAGTGTCCATACAATGCCAAGAAAATCAAAGGCAGCATCAAAGCCACAGTGCACTGAAATGGTGATAAATGTCTGCATTTCAGGAACACATCTCCTGCTTCCATGTTGCCCCCAGACAGACACATTGATTCCAATAGGAAAAAGTAATCTTAAATAGTTTTGATTTAGGTGAGGTTTTCACAAACACATTCTTTGAATACCGTATCTAGTTATTATGTGCAAGGCATCAAGATATGTTGTGACACTGACATGGTCTTTGCCCTGTGGAATCTTATTTTAATCAAGAAAATGAGACCAACTGTTATTAAAAAAAAAAATCTTGCTGCATAGAAAACCACCACAGTAAGAATTCTGCAAAGGGAAACATTGATGTAGGCTGGAGTTGAGAACAAAAGCAACAGAGAGGATGAAGAATGCAACCAGAAATCAATGGAGGGGATGTCGGGTTGGACTGGTGGCTAACCATCCAAGGGCTGGAAAGCCAGACAGAAAGACTGATCAGGAATGCAAGAGGGATCTGCTGCAGGTTTCGGGGTTACCGGCCAGCAAGGTTGAAAGCAGTGATTCAGAGAGATTAAAGGGATACCATGTACAGGACAGAGGTAAAAGGTGAGTGACAAGGAACCCCGCATGGTTGGTGGTTGAGAGTGTGGACTCTACAGCCAGACTTCTGGGATTGAAATCCCAGCTACAGGCAAGCCCTTTAACCTCTCTGTGTATAATTCTACATCTAATACGTGGATGGTAAGATTAAATTCTTTGTAGGGTTGTTACAGAGGTAAACTAATTTAATATTTGGAAAGCATTCAGAACAGGGCCTGGCACATAGATGTTAAACAAATAAATAGAACTTCCTAGAACAGGTAGTCTCAGGGATACTGCTTAATTTTCTTCATCTAGTCCTGAAAATGACAGGCCACCCTCCTGCTGACAGGTATTAATATTTGGAAAGCATTCAGAACAGGGCCTGGCACATAGATGTTAAACAAATAAATAGAACTTCCTAGAACAGGTAGTCTCAGGGATACTGCTTAATTTTCTTCATCTAGTCCTGAAAATGACAGGCCACCCTCCTGCTGACAGGTAAAAGATGGAGTAATTTCATGCTCCTACCCTTTACCCCCAAATCACCTTATACTTTTTATTTCTGATTTTTTCTTTAATCAAATTGTTCTGATACAAGGCTGTCTTAATGGTGGTCACAGCATCCTCAAAAAATCAACTGTCAGGTCTGTTCTAGAACAAGCCAGGAGTAGGTATCTCTGGTTAGATTAACAGTGCCTTGGCCTAATCTTAATTCTAAAAGTGCTTTTCTAACACAAACTATAAGTTTTTTTTTTTTCCTTTTTGTCTTTTTTCGTGACCGGTAACGGGATGGTGTCGCGCCCGCACCGCGCTCAACCAGTGAGCAGACCGGTCTCTATATGGGATCCGAACCCTCGGCAGGAGTGCCGCCGCGCTCCCAAGTGCCGCACTCTACCGAGTGCGCCACTGGGCCGGCCCACAAACTATAAATTTAATGGGTCATTTTGTATAAAAAGGTCAATTATGAAAAGCCTAGAATTTTTCAATTATACCAATATATTCTATGGGTTTTGGTATGGCCCAGACAGTGTTAACTTTTTTCATCTATATGGGTTTTGATTTTCACCCCAGAAATTGGTTTTATTTGATAAATCCAAGTTTTAAGTTTCTCAGTTAAAAAAAAAATCTCCATAAAATAATAAATAAATAAACAAATAGTGCTTTTTTGTAAACTTTTTCTGTATGCTCTTCTCTTTGCCACGTTCATTTCATACCAGTATTTGGTGTGCTCTTGAACACATCTTTGTAGAAAAATCATTAAAAGCAGGAGAAAAGTCTCCTCATGAAAACCAAGCAGGAAATACCATACTCACCGCGGGTTCTGAAGAAGAAAGGGTGATAATTGCTTTCGTTTTTAATGGAAGGAAAAGGGACAACCTTTACAAAGTAATCAGTTTCAAATTTCATATTCAGGAAAGGTTGAGATTCCATTCCCTAAAAGGGAACAAAAACACACATGATGTCATGGAGAAACTACCCACCCCTCCACCTACACATGAGATCTTACACTCCTACCCCAGCCATCACAATTCCAGACACAATTCCAGAGCAGGGGGTGCGCGGGGACATGCCCAAGGGAAGCAGGAAGTCAGGTCTATTGTCTGGACCAAGTTTAGGTTTGGATCCCTAATCATGAAGATGACCAATGCTGTCTGTTCTTTGGCAAGGAAGCCACAGTAATACTGAACCTGGGATGTGGAGGGAGGGTGAGCCTCACACACTCTTCAGAGCACAGACACCTTCCAGGAGCTCTGCTCTAGCGCAGCAGTAACTCAAGAGGTGTGTTTACCACAGAGAGGTGATCAGGAGTTTCCCTGGGAGCGCAGAGCAGGTTCCTGGTGTTGCCGCCATTCTCACCCACCTTAGCAGGTGGGGTAGACCCCACGGCCCCTCCTCCAATTTCAGAATTTCAATAGACCATTCAGACCCCCAGAACAATGGTGTGTCTTCAGCAGCACATTCCCTGAGTGTGACTTACAGTTCTTTTGAAGCTACTGTTGAGCTGCTTTGGGTCCTTTAGAATCAGTTGTTGGCACTGTCTTCCTTCGGACTTCAGCTCCTCCAGTATTACCCGAAATCCTTTTAGGAATTCGATGCCTAAGCAAAGCAGAATGCTTTTATTAAAAGCAGACCTAATTACTTCTGAATACACTTTCCTTCCTCCAAAATTACTGTCCTGTCCACCTACATACCAGAGTTAAAGCAATTCTTACTCTGGCCAAGGTATCTGAGTGTAGGAAAAACAGATACCCTGCATTCCTCTAGTACAGACAAGGTGATTTTCTTTGTCCTACCATTACTTGTTAATTAATTTCGAATCCACACAGCCATTTCACAAATATCCATTGCCTTTGTAGAATTATCGTTCAAAAATTTAGACTCAAGTCACAATTGATCATAAAAGTCTACAGTGGAATATATAATTTCTAGGTCATTAAACAGGGTGCATTCAGCTGATGATTCTCAATGTTGACCAGGGAATCCCCTAAGCCATGTTTCCACTTTTAAGTTTTAGCTCTATATTTTTTGGCATGTTTCACTGAGCAACATACAAAATTCCCAACAAACTGTGGGTCTGCACCCAAAGAGTTCCTAGGCTTGAGATTAAATAGCTTATGGTAATGCCTGTGTGATTTACAAAGCAGTTCTTGCTTTAATCATGCCTGAAAGGCAGACATCCAAGGGCTGCCCAGTGTGTGCTCTTCATCCAGTCCTAAGAGGCCCTGAGATGCCCACAGCGCCACTGAAAGGCCTGGCCCAGCCCCCGCCACCTGAGCTTCCCCCACTGCACATCCGACTAGATGCCTTCAAAAGGATTAAGCTGTGATGGCCACAAGAGCCAGCACCGGGGCTCTGTATCCCATGGAGACTGGAGTGGTCCAACTGCAGCTGGAGACCTCCAAAGCCAGCCTCAATTGGCAAGATATCGATTTCACATTCTTTCTGAGCACTAGACAAGGAGACATTTTCAACCCTTCCCCTCTCAGGGCAAAAGTAATTACACAGGATGCAATTAACCAGGTGGGAAAATTATTGATGGCAAAGGCCAGGGAAATCTTTTTCTCTTTTTCCAATCCTATAATTATTTGATGAAGATTACATATTTCATGGTGGGTAGGACAGAGAAGCCATAATTACAGCTTTATATTTTAAGGGTTCAGAGTACTACAGTATGCAGGTACTGACTCTGTCATGTTGTATTTCAAGTACAAAGCTTCCTGTAGGGGGTGAGAGCCAGCTGACCCACAGCCAGAGATTCAGACATGATGACAAGATACAAGGTCCTTAGACCAACAGCTATTTAGTAGATCTCCTAGGAACTTGCCTTTTGAGATTAAGAAAAAAATTTTTCTTAACAAATCCTTAGTATTTATACTAAGATTTAATTTATGCAATGTTCCCATAACTACTGTTTAACAAAAGCCAGGTGATTAATATGATTACTAGCCATACATCTCACAATTATTACATAAAAATTCATTAGCTGGGGTGGGGACGGGTGGTTCTAGTCCTTACTTTTAAAAGACCAGCTTGAAAACCACTATGTCAAATCTTGTGGTGGGTGTAGAGGCAACAAATGTAATTCCTATATCATCATGACACATTTATCACAATACTATTAACACCTTGTAGTTATATAATGATTAGCAATTTTATAGAGCAGCTTCCCATGAAGGAACTTATTTGCTCTCGCTCTCCCATCATTTAAACTCATTAAATCCTCCTAACCATAGGAGGAAGGTATTATTATCCCTAATCTGCAGACGAGGAATCCGAGGTCAACAGATGCTAACTGACTTGCCCAGGTTCATACAGGAATGAAATGGCAGAGGTGGGATTCGAACCCATGAAGTGTCTGGCTCTCAGCCAGCAATCTTAACCCACATCTTTCAAGAAGTTTCCTTGATAGAAACTGATAGAACCTGTCCAGCCACCGCCACCCATAAATCATCCTACAGTAAAAAACAGCCTTCTGCCCTCACTGTTCCACATGTTAGTTTTCCTACCACCAGCTCACACCTCTTATTTTCATTCTAACAGGGGAGCCTGCAAGAGCCTGCAATTCGTCAGGCCAACCCCTTAACCATTTAAGCCTTAAATGGAATGACCACTTCCCTTTTATCCAAGAGAATGTCTTTATCTTTAAATGTTAAGATAATATTATTTTTGGAACACCCACTGGGTTCAGACCCAGAAGTATTTATGTGGAAAAGTGAGTCAGGTCCAGGGTCTGCTCCATCCTCCCTCTCCCTGCACTCACCCCTCCTGCAATCTGGTTCTTCTGAGATTTATCTTGTTCAGATTAAGAAATTCAGACTATTTTACTTCTCCCTTGGCCAGGTTTTAAAGATATGTAAGATCGGACAGCACTGTCAAAAAGGCAGGCTCGAGAACTGGGTTCTGATGATGATGATGGCTGCCACTATTCTTTGAGAGCTCTCTCTGGAAATGGACCACGTGTGTCCATTCTCATCTCCACTTTACAGATGGGGAAGCTGGCACGCAGCAAGATTTTAATGCCTCAAGTGAAAGGTTGATTCCGGGTTCAAGCCCAGGTCCATCTGAACAAATGGTCCCCTCTCTTGTCCCACACTCGATTTACATCCTCTCCTGTGTATCGTCAGTTCATTCAAGAGGACAAACAGATTCAGCCCCAACCTAAATCTGCCCAGATAACATTGGCTTGCTTTTTTCTGTTTCTTTGTTTCAGTTTGAGTTTTTTTGGTCCACACAGTTAAAAATAAAAATTCAACTAGTTGCCAACATTTAAGAAGTCACTGATTTCATAGTTTCTTGTGAAAACTGGGATTTTCCTGAAAAAAAAATCATAAAATGTGCCAGTGCTCAGCCTGCACATCCATGTGGCCATGGAGACCACTAATGCTGGACAATGAAGCCATTACACCCTTGGATGGGCCACAGGCTGTCTTGGCACTGTCACTTGCCCATCCCCAACTACTGCTGTGACAGAGAGGCCAAGGCCTCAGTGTCATTTATCACTCACACACTATTATTTTTGAACCCACATCTCTCTCGATAATAGTCAAGGAAACAAAAGACCACGGGGCATAGCCTCAAGCCGTGTACACACTCAGCAAGCATATGCAACAAAGTACAAAGTGTGTCTGTTCCAAATCCACTCACATCACGACCCGCCTGGCCCCTGGAGACCATCAGGTGTGGGATCCTTACACTGGGCACTACCCACAAAGGCACCATAACAGACTTGACTTTTGACCACTTACCGAGGGCCCCTGGGGACCAAAGAATGGTGACTGCCACCTGGTCGTGGCAAGCGTACTGGCTGATGGTGATGTTCTGGGCATCAGCAATCACGTGCCTCCCTACAGGACTCAAGTAGGTGGTACAGTCTAGAGAGTTGGGGAAATGACAACAGTTAAATTTTTATTTTTATTTTCATCCTGTCAAATTACACAGAGCATGTCTGTAGGTGGCTAAATCCACTCTGTTTAAAGATGTGTGCCTCAAAAGCCCAAATATGACATCAAAGGTTGACTAGTGTTTGGGAAACTATGAGATGCTAGAGGATTTCTTTATAGCAACACCACCACCCACCTGAGTTAAATTCCAGGACAGTGTTGGGAAGATCAACACTGACAAGATTGTGGAGTTTGTGTATCTGGCATTAATTTTTTTTTTACTCATGCCATTTTACCTAAATCAATTAGTTACACCAATTCATTAAAGAGTGATTTAAAACAAAACAATGACTAAATAATCTGGGTTTTTCTTGTTTTTAGAACAAACCTAGAGGGCAAGGTAACTAGGGAAAAGGAACTAACAAGCAGAGGTGAATTCATAGGGAGCGATTCACAGCAAGACTCTTAACCCAGTTAGTATCTGCACAAAGTTCTAACTCAGTGACCGAGTGATAAAGATGTTAACTAGCATTGTCAAAGGTAAAACTTTGGTTCCAAAATAGCCTGTGTCATCAAAGACACCCACAATCCCCACTAAATCCAAGGGCCCCACACTGCTCAAAACATGAAAACCACCCCAGTCTTTGATTCTGTCTTAGGACATTACTCACTACCACCTGTCAATGTAGCCACAACCATGCGAGCAGCTGTGTCACCTGGTATTGCTAAATATTTCTTCAAAATCTGCAAGTTTCCTAAAAAGCTGCCAGAAGCTTCCAGCCAGAATCAGGCTGGGACTTTAGAGAATGACTATGAGCTGTTCTAGCTACTCTTGTGAGAGAACTATCAGCTATTCCCAACGTACAGCAACTTATAATTCTTACACCGCTTTGCCTCTATTTCTTTCTCAGTGATTAAACTTGAATTTTCTTTTATAATATCTGCTGCAAAAGATCTTCGATCCCATCAAATGTCCAAATCTGCCCATTACCCCTCTGAAGTTAGGGAGTTTTTCTTTGAGGTGAAATATTCCAGGGTATTTTCTAAGAATCTCAGTGAATCTGCTGCATTTACCCCCTGTAAACTGTACTGCACATTTCCCATTTTTATGACTAAATATGTTCATTGGAGACATTTAAGAAAAATGTAAAAGTCATCCATAACCTCTCACCACACAAATATGCTATTAACATTCTAATGAATACCCTTTCTAAGTCTTTTAACATGCAGATAATATTTGTCCCTTGTTATGTCTTATTAAAGTATAACATACATACACTAAAATGAACCTCCCACTTTTAAAACTCCACCCTCCACACTGCCTGTGTCCTGCCTTTTTGTCTAACCACATTAGGCACCTTCCCTTCTCTAAACTCGATCTGCTTCAAAAACAGTCAAATTTACATTTCAATATTCTTTTAAAAGAATGTTAATAATTCATAAAACGAAATTCTACTTCTGATGAAAATTTACTCTCAAAGCAAGAAACATGTGTTCTCTGGGTGCAAAAGAGAATTTTAGAATAGGAAAAAAAATTTTTAACATCTGATTTAACACCCACATTGGGGCTGGCCAGTTAGCTCAGTTGGTTAGAGCAAGGTGTTCAGGGGTTTGGATCCCCATACCAGCTGTCTGACAAAACAAACACACAAACAACAAACAAAACACCCACACTGCACAAATGATCAGCTAGTGGCTTTGGGTCCATATGGCTCACCCAGGGCTCTTGCCACTCTGTCATCAGCACAGAACTTTTTACTATGGACATAAGCTCTGAATCAGACGTGTTCAGCCTGCAAAAACACTGGCTGAGCCCAGCTTCCCAGTATAAAAAAGAGACAAGATCCTATCATACTTGGAAAGTTCACGTATTTTCATTTATTGAGATCTGTAATGAAAGAGAAACATTTGACTCAAACAGCTCTGAAAAGATGCACAAACAAGAGCAAATCATGGTTCTTTCCTTTGTTCATTCCTAATGCCAAAATTAACACTCTTTGGGTTTCTGTAAATACAATTATGCAAATCTAAACTCTGAGAATTAAGAAAATGTATTACAACTCACTCAGGCATACCCCCTCAAAGCCTGAAGGAGAAACATGGAATGCAAGGTCAAAGAAGGCAAGGAAACGTGAAATTCAGTTTTGACTTAATGGCAAAATATTGTTTTTTCTTTATAGCATTAAATGACAAAGGAATAAAAAAGTAAGATTGTGTAGTTTAGTAATTTTGGTGAAAACTCAGAAATTAGGGCCGGCCTGGTGGCGCACTGCTACAGTGCACCGCTTGGGAGTGCGGTGGCGCTCCCGCCGAGGGTTCGGATCCCACATACAGACTGGTTCCCGCTCACTGGCTGAGCGAGGTGTGGGAGCAACACCGAGGGTTGCGATCCCGTTGCCGGTCCCGGTCCAGTACGGGCGCGACACTAAGGGTTGCGATCCGTTGCTGGACACGAAAAAAGGGAAAAAAAAGAAAACTCAGAAATTAGCTCTTACCAGTCTACTTAGTAATAACAGGAAATTTCTTGTGGAAGAGAGTAATATCTTCTTCAACGGAAAAGACTGAATAAGTTTTTTTTTACACAGCCTGGATCCAATCATTGGCAAGTCTAAAGTTTTAGATTCTGGTTACAAAAACTTTATGCCCAAGTGACATTTCGCCAAAATGCAACTGAGCTTCAAATGTCTCAGGACTCAATGTGAGCTGTGAATTAAATCCTAATTAAATGCTGAAGAGTTAAAGAAAGGAATGACTAAGAGACAGGCATAGGCACATGGGCCAGATGTTTAGTATCGTGAAGAAATAGTAAGATGCTTTTGAGTTTCACAGGTATTGATCTTCTTTCACAAAACCCCATATTAAATTAGAGATGCAAATGCTTGTTTGCAACTGACCAGAAAATTTTGAACTCTTGAATGTAATACGAGATCTGCCAGGACCAAGAGCGTACATTAGAAATTAACTGTCTAACTCGAAGAAAGGTCCCTTACACATGTCTTTGCTTAGCTCAATCAAGTATCACGGACTTGCAAATCTTTCATTACCATCACAGCATTTACCCAGAACATGCACACACCACTAAGACCACTAACATGAAACTTTTGAGTTCCATGTGCAAGTCCTCCTTGGCTAACTGAAAATGCCCATGCCAGCAACTGTGGGTGTGAATTTGATACACACATTTGTATCTTAAAATTGTTAGACTGTATCCATGACCTCAAAAACCCTGCTTTAAGCAGTGATTATTCCACAGTCCTCAATGTGACCTATGCCCCTTACTTACATTCATAACAATTTCCAAGAGATGAAATCAGTTGTGAGGTGTCGCCAAATATGAGTCAAGCTCCCTCATGTCATTTTTTACTTATAAATTGTGGCTCATATGACTAAAATGTTCACAATCCTATACAACTACCTTCTTATGAATGAAAGCAGCTGCTTAGAGGGGATCCTATACGCTTAATCAGAAAAATCACTGCCCACCCTGCCTTTAGAAAATAATTCAGCCAGGAAAAATCACACTTTCTTGAGAAAAAGGGCAAAAAAGGTGCTTGCATTCCAACTCCAGTTGGATTGACTTCTAATATTAATATATATCAATCACAGAGTATATATACAACATAGTCCAGCTACCAAGTTGAGCAGTTATAACCATTACCTCATTTAAACCTCAAAACAATGCTAGGGGAAGGAAACATCTTTATTTTATATGAGAAAATTGAAGCTTGGAGAAGTCTAATTACCTACCATAGCTTACATAGCTGATAGGTGGGGAACTGGGGCTAGAACCCAGACCTAAGTGAGAGATGGCCAAGTGGAATCCCCTGGGCCAATCTGAGACAAAGATTCACTTGGCCCACTTTGTGTGCAAATTTTAAAAAATGTTCACACACAAAAAATGTAAATTTCTCACTATTCTTGGAAATCACAAATCTGCCTACACTCACTGGAAATTACTCAAGGCCACAATGAGCTGGAATCAAGGAGTCAATACTCCCTTTAGACTAGACACAGGCCACCCAGTTTGCCATAGTCCTCACCATTCACTAGCATCTTGCACTTGGGCAGCTTTGCTCACTTCTCCCCTGGTATCTGTGTTTATTCTTAAGGATATGTCTAAGTCCCAAGGAACTCAGGGAAGGTCTTCACACAAAACTTTTCTGAACACTATGGAAGACACTTGACCTGATCAAGTTCCCAAATTCTTGAGTGCCTTAATTGAGACTGAGCTGCTTTAGCTCTGTTGACAACCCTGAACAGGTTCAGAAAATTCCTCAACCCCAGGACCTGCAGTGTCCTTAATTAAGCATGACTGTGTAAGCTTTAGATTACTGAGAGAGCTCCATTCTTTGGCGGTCAGGCCAGTTACTTACTGTCATATCTGAAGGTGATGTTGTGCAGCCCACTGTTTCTGCTGGCCGGCCCCACTCCCTGTGGGAAAACAAGAGAACATGATGTGGAGTGAAGCCAATTTGCTTTTCCAGCACAGATCCCCACGGAATCCAAATGCATACAGCCCTGCCGAGACCCAGGGTCATGCCAGTCCCCGAGCATCATCCACCACTCTTTCTGGCCTGCTCCATGCCCGACACCCCCCACAAGCCAGCTGCCAAACTCCTGCCAGCCCAGAAGATTCCCAACAGCCAAGCCACGGGGATCATGAGCACTCACTTCTTCTAAGACAACAGGAGGAGGCTGTTCTATGCTTAGGGGTTAAATAATAATATATTAACAGTAAAATTGGGAGACAGACCAAGAGCTGCCAGCTGGAGCCCTTCCAGTTGGATTTACTTTGAGCACTGATTGGTTATAAAATTTGCCTACCAGACACCCTCATCCGAAAGCTCTATTAAGCCACGACAGATAGGCAATTCCTCAAGTCTTAAGGAAACCGCTTTCTCATTCCAAGACCAGGAATGAGTGTGGGAATAAGCCATTACTTTTAATGAGAAAAGTCTTCACTGCATCCATACCTATGCTTGGAATACATTGGGTGGGTCATAAAAGAAAAAGAAAAAAGACTTTAAAAGGTCTAACTCTTAAATCTTGGTGATGTGGCCGCTAGCCATCTGCACTCTTAATAGCAGGGCTAACAACTCCACCAGACTTCCCACTTTAATTACGGCATCCAGAAGGAGCACCGGAATCCCCCCACTGACCCCACCTTTTCCTAATCCACCATTTACCCATCGTGGGAAAAAGCAGCTACAGATCTACCAACTCTGACTTAACCATTTCTGTAAAAATCTGCAAATCTGCCACTCAGCATTAATTGCAGAATTCTCCAAAATACCTTAATTCTGAAATAATAAATGATAGGAAAATATTCTAACCACACAGCTCAAGTTTCCACTTAACTAGGAGGATGTTGGGGAAAACCATATGCTGGTAGCCTGGTACTTCACGGACAATTGTTACACTGAGACACAATGTGGAGCCCAGGGTTTCAGGCCACAACCCCTTCACATCCATATGCTACAGGCATGTTCACACTGCTTATCCTGGAGCCAGGCATGCCCACTGAAACTGTATCCCTAAGCTCAGATATACACGGACTTAGGGAAAGCACAGCTGTGCAGAAAAGGGAGACATACACACCACTCAGTAACATAACACCTAAATCAACATGGCGCAACAGCCCATGATCTACTGAGGCTCCCCTTCCTGGTCCTTCTATCCTCTCTTCCCCCCACACACAAAATTCCAGATTCCTCACATGAACCGAAACACTTTGGAAAGTGCTGTTGCCTTATTAAAATCCTAAGAGCGTCTATAACTCCTTAGGGACAAAGCCACAGTCTATGCAGCTAGAGGCTGGCCCACCTCCAGAGGGTGGAGACAAGGAAGGAGACAATCCAATCCTCCACAACCCTTTGGTAATGCTCAAGACCAAAGCTCAAGACACCCAAACTATACCCTTCTCCTCCCTTACAAATTCCCAGGACATAAACTCACTCACCGTCTGTTATGAGCCTGATATAATGCTAGCTAGGGTGGTCAACAAAACAGCCACAGTCCCCACCCTCATGGAACAAAGTAGCACGGCCTGTATTCTTTCAAAGAAGAGTAACTACATTTGCAAATTATATCCAAGACCTACTGACAAATCTCAAATCACACCCTGGTCCTCCAAGAACTCCCAGTTTAGATAGCAAAACAAGGTATATGTAGCAAAGGGTGAGAAAGCCAGGCACAAATAAGCATACAATATACGAAATGCCACAAGGCAGCACCTGAGTAAGAATGAATGAGGGATAAGGATGACATGTATCAGAAGCTTAAAAGGGAGGAAAGATAACTGGGCTAGAATAGAGAGACAAACAGAGCAGCATCGTGGGAGGGAAACAAAAAAGTAATCTAGAGGTCAAGGTAAGTATCTCAATCCTTTTATCCCTCAGCTGGTGACCAAAGGCAAACCACTCTACCCCCCCTGGGTATGAATCTCCTCAGCCATCTCTTTTTAAAAATGCATCCGCATGACTTTCCTCTGAGAGGGGGGTTTGAGGAGGATGACATGAGGCCACATAGAGGAGGCACATTCCATATAATAAACAGCATGCTCCAAGGCACATAGAGACTCTGGTGACCAATCACCTTACTTGTGGGACTTGGTCAGCTTTTCCTTTTGCTTCTGTCTCTCCTATATTTCTTTTGTTTGTTTCCCCTATATTTCTATTGCAACATGTTTTTAACAGATGTTTATTGGGCACTTGCAACGAACAATGCATTGTGGAAAGGAGTACAAGACAGTGCTATGTGCTACATCATGCAAGAACCTAAATCACTCCAAATAAAGTCTGTGGAGCTGTTCAGAGGGAGGCCCAGGGAGCTGGCATCGAGGGGCGGTAAGGCTTACATGCAGCGGCCACTCATTACCCGATGAGCATTCCACCTTAACCTAAGTCCCTCAGGGCTGGGAAGTCAGCTATGAACCAGACCCGGGTCCTGACCACAAGGCGCTTTGTCCACCAAGGTGACATCCAAAAGTATGCATCTGCCCTCATTTCCCTGCGCAAGCCCTTCACTGGAATCTCTATCCCCCCTAGAAAATTCCTGATGTGGCCCCTGCCTACCTTCCCAGCCACCCGTTACCTACCAAACCCCCTGGGCACTGCAGTTGTGCTCAGCGTGTGTTCTCAGGCACTCCTGCATTCCCAGAGTCCCCTTCTCTTCTCATCACATCCCCCATAAAACCCTCCCCATCTCGCGGATCCTGCTCCCCCGGTGGACTGCCTGCCTTAGTCTAGCCTCTATCACACTGTGTTCCTGACACATTGGTCATCCTGCGTACCCACTTAATGGGAGTACAGTCTTTCATCCCCACAATTTGACTAGCATGGCACTTCTGTGGATGCAGAAACAAAATGGTAATTCTAATTCCACAGAAAATCAGAGACTGTAAGACCCTGCAGCCATCTACACCTAGAAATCAGAAGTTAGAGACACCATCCCGGGTACCAGTTCCTATGTGTACTTTAAAGACCTTTCTCTTCTGGAGATGTTGAGTGCACAGGTTACCAGCACATGCATGACAGATGCTCTGCCAAGCTGCCCTTGGCTCACACCCAAACAATGCTTCCGTTGCTCCAGAGCCCTCAGAAACCACCTTAGGAACGGCGTGTCCAGACACTACTGTTTTCTTTATACTTTGTTGTAGACAAAATGATAACCCCCCAACATGTCCACATCCAAGTCCCCAGAACCTGTGACTGTGTTATTTTACATAGCAAAAAGGACTACGCAGACATGGTTAAGTTCAAGGATCCTGAGATGGGGAGAGTAGTCTGGGTTACCCAACTGGGTCCAGTGTAATCACAAGAGTCCTTAAGGAGGGAGGAAGAAGAGTCAGAGACGTAACAATAGAAACAGGACAGGGGGAGAGGGAGAGAGGAGAGGGAGAGAGGGGAGGGGGGAGAGGAAAAGGGAGAGAGAGAGAGAGAGAGAGAGAGAAAGTTAGTTGAGACAAAGTGCAGCTCCTGAACCCC